GTAAGGTAGTGTACCTTGCTTCCAAACAAAGATAACACCACCACTGAAATTGTATAGTTGTAACGCTAATATATTTTTAATTAGTGGTAGGGTTGTGTGTGTGTGTGTGTGTGTGTGTGTGTGTGTGTGATCAGTTTTGTTTCATTTTTAAACTCTGCACAGTGGTCTCCATTGTGAATTCATTTGGACTATATTAAATAACAGTGTACTAACTTGGCTTCTGTTTTCTCAGTATTTGGCATGATTCAAACTGGGATGAGTTGAAATTTGCCTTTTTGCTATGGAATAAGCAAAAATAAAAGATATTAGGAAGCAGTTTAATCTACTCAAGATGGGAGAAAATTCTGTTTAACCTTAATAACCACATGGAAAATCCTACTGCTAAATGCAGATATGTTTATTAAAGCTGGCCCAACAAATCTGGCATTGCTCAGTTGAATGGTTTGAGTTGTCAAGTGTGCATAAGTGTAACAAAATTGAATTTCTTTTAACATGTGTTACTGCTGTTCAGTCCTATGGTGGTACACAGACTCATAGTTGAGGCACACTGTTTTTTGCAACTAGCACAGGCAATGAAGGCAGACAGACCTGACTTTGAATCTCAGCTTGTTCATTCATTCCTGTTTTGAGCTTGGGCAAGTCACTTAATCTCCCTAAGCCTGTCCTAGAACAGCATGTTGATTTGGAACATTGTCCCAGGAAAAAAAAAAGAAAAACGGTTTTTGTTTTTTGACTCTTACATGATTAATCGTTAGGATTCCAGTGTTTATTGATTTGATTCTTTAAGAGAGCACAAGGAAAAGTTAATGCTAGTCATAAAAGTTCAAAGGAAATTGCTGCGCCTATTTGATCTGAGGAAGGGAAGACTTGGGATGTTGTGTGGGTGGGGCTGGAGGCAGAGAAGGGGAAACCAGACGGGCTGTCGATAGCTTAGCAACTTTTCTAAAGTATGTGAAAGGTTATTCTTTAAACCCAGCCTTATGTAGGTATAATTGGTATAAAATAAAGTGCACGTTTAATGTGTACTATTTGGTAAGTTTATACACCCATAAAACCATCACCCCTTCAAGATAGTGAACATACCCAGTGAGTCACCTATAAAAGTTGCCTTGTGCCTCTTTGTGATCTTCTCCAGCCACCCTGCTCCCATTACCTGGCAACAGCTATTCCGTGTTCTGGAACCATAAATTAATTTGCGTTTATGCTGTTTCCATTCATGTAAATGGAATCCCCCATTATGCCTTCTATTGTGTCTGCCTTTATCACTCAGCGGTGTTAATTTTGAGAGTCATCCGTGTTATTATGTGTTTCTGCTCCCTCTTATCACTGAATGCTATTTCATCGCGCAGATGTACCACAAGTTTTTTACAGGCTCACCTCTTGCTGGACATTTGTGCTGTGTCTAGTTTTGATTATTTCAAATAAAGGTGCTAGGAATAGTCATGTACAAGTCTTTGCACTGACATATGTTTTCATTTCTCTAGCATAAACACCTAGGAGTGGAATGAGTGGGGTGTGTGGATGGCGTATGTTTCACTTTTAATGTCAAATGTTTTCCAAGGTGATTGTACCCTTTTACATTCCCACCAGCAAAGGATGAGAGTTCCAGTTGTTCCATAACCCAGGCAACTCTTGGGAGTTCAGCCTTTAACTCTTTAGTTAAAAAAAGCTCAGCCTTTAACTCTTTAGTCTTTCTAGTGAGTGTGTAGTAGTATCTCATTGTGGCTTTAACTTGAACTTCCCTAATGACCAAGGATGCTGAGCATCTTTACATGTGTTTATTTGCCCTCCATCTATTGTCTTTGTTGGCATGTGAGTTCAGAATTTGACCCCGTTTCATTTGACCCAGATTCCTATTTGCCTGGCATATAGAATCAGCAAAAAGAAATTAAGTTGAAGCAGGAAAAAGTATAATTATAATTAAGTACTTTTTGGCTGTGACACTAACATGGGCATTGGGGCAACCATAGGAGGATGTAAAACTTTCCCTGAAGGTATTTAAAAATATGGCTGGTGTTTGGATGTTGTAGGCTTGCTGATATATGACTCAGTTTACCTAATTGTAGTGTTCATTTGAGGAAAGAATCTTCCATGGGGTGAGTCTGTTTCTAACATCTCAGTATTCCTTGCTTTTTTCTGCTCTTTTTTCAGGCCAAAAATATGCAATTTCTTGGAATTTTTCAAAACTTTTCATGTACTTCATGGTTTTTTTAAAATCCATTCTCTGATTTTTAGCTCAAAATGATGCTGCAAAACAGAGGAGGGTCATTCAGGGGCATTAATTAGCTTTAGCAAAAACAAATTAACAATCTCTGGAGAGTAATCAAATCCAAAGAAATGCTCAAATTTCCCTCATCCAACTCTAGCACAAATCATTGTTTTAGCTGATAGTATTGGGAAGATTCATTTAACTCTTTGTAGAGGCAAAATAATTAGCTAGGTTCTAGAGAAGAGGTTCTACATGATTAAAGGAGTCGAGTGGTTTTAGCCTGCGGAAGGGAAGACCAAGGGGTGATTTAATGACAGGATTCCAATACAACTAATGAAGGGTTTTCCTGTGTGTCGAAGACACTGGTCATTTGTTCTCCAACTCCAGAGAGGTTCAAACTAGAGAAAATTGGCTCCAAGTATAGAAAGACTGAGTGTGGGTAGTATTAGACATACAACTTTTATTATTGGCATCAGTATTATTATGAGGTTAAGCAATGGAGCAAGTCAAGAGAGGTCATAAAGATATTTTAAAACAAAAAAGATAGCTCTCTGCCTGGGATGTTGAAATGTCCATTGAATTACAGGATTTAGCTATTGAAGGGGACCTTAGAGGTCCCTTACTCTAATCTCCTTTTGCAGGTGAGGCTGTGAAAAGACATTTTGTAATTTGTCTATGGCCACCTTGCTATATGCTAATATTTTACTCTAAGGATGTTTTAAAAGTAGCCTCTCTCCAGAGACACCAAGGGACCCATGTGAGAGTTTCTACTTCACAGCAGCTTTCACGCCACCAAAATAGTCACTTAGAGCTGATGATCATGTATATTATTTTTTTCCAAGACAAAGTACTGTATGTGTCTCTTCTTGTCATTAAAAATGTTAACGATTTCTCTTCTTGGACATTCTGAACTTGTCTCTAAATGAGCGCTGTACCTTCAATGACTATAGTTGATTTGACCAGAGGTAATCAGTGTCCATCGAGGTCAGCAGAGGACACCGCCACAACCTTTAGGGTGTCTGTTGCAGCTTGATATGGGGTTCTTCATTAACTTCTGGTTGATGGCTGTGCTACAAGGGCCATAATTTGGCGGATGACTTTGGGTCAGTTATTATGTCCTCCTGGTGACTAATTTGCCTTTCTTAAAGATAATATAGGGGCACCTGGGTGGCTCAGTCAGTTAAGCATCTGCCTTATGTTTCACGTCATGATCCCATGGTCCTGCGATTGAGCCCCGTATGGGGCTCCTTGCTCAGCAAGGAGCCTGCTTCTCCCTCTCCCTCTGCCTGCCACTCCCCCTGCTTGTGCTCGCTTGCTCTCTCTGTCAAATAAATAAAAATCTTTTTTTTAAAAAGATCATATATTATAAAGCTTTAGGTTTTGTTTTGAAAAATACTAGTTAGAGCAGTAAGAGACATTCCTAGGCCACCAATTCATTATGTACAGGTCTACAAATATGAGTTCCAGCCATTGGAATTAAGTGGGATAAATTGCTTACAAAGGATTACACATGCATTACCATAACTGAAAGAAATTGGCACAATGCAATTTATTTGATTGTGGTTACATTTCATTGGGTAACTCATCATTCTGTACATGTTCCCACTTAGGCCATCTAGAGCAAAACCTACATATGTTTATACAGTATTATATAGTTATTTTAAAGGGTTTATATGAGTACTAAAAATGTAATAAAATATTCAAAAATACCTAGCATCTTGCCACACATCTAGCAGACACACAGTCAATGACGCTACCTTCCCTTCTTTTTTCCTTTCTTGAGTTTTAGTCTTGGGTATTGGAATCTTTCAGAAGCACAACAAATTCTTGTCAAAAGGGAAGTTAATAAAACTGTACACATTTAAAAGTGTTTCTTTAGAAATTATCATCAGTGTATGCTGAGCCCTCACTTGACTCACAGGATGTTTAGATTTTATGAGATTTTAATATCTTTTCAGATATAGTCACCTGAAAAGTCAGGTTCTGTTGGTTTGAGAAAGATTCATTCGGCACCTCTAATTTGCTCCGCCAGACTTGGGCTAGATTGAGGATGCTTGGAATGCCAGAATGAGAAATTTGTATTTAATGTGGCGATAGAGAGCTATCGCGGGTTCTGAAACATTGGAAAGCTAAAAACAAACTTTTTCAACCAGACCAAGAACATTCCTTTCTGAACCTTCCCCCTAAGTATGTATATTAGATTTAAAAGAAGGTAAATTCTTTGTGTAGTCCATTGAGTTGCCCACCCAGTCCTGTGTTTGTGAACTGGAAACCACTCATGGTAAATATGGAACCACACGCTGTAAAGTTTAATGGAGTGACTTTCAACTGGAATGGAATTTGCTTCGAGAACTTGGCCTTTGAGCAGTGGTGACTGTTATCCCATGGAGACCCTGTTGTTCAGGACTGTTTTCTGTGAGCCACTTACTATCTGCAAGGAAAGAAGCAAGACGAGCTGGAGCCAGGTATTACATTCAACCCCTTTAGAAATCACTGGCTGACTGAATGGGCTCATCTCTCAGCTTTTTGTGGAGCCAGAGTAGAAACAATGTGAGGGCTTTTGCTATTCAAAGGAATGTGCAGCTCTTTCCCTCTGTCTGCATGAGCTGCCGCCCTCAGCTCCTGCCCCGCACACAGCTTATCACACCCGGGAGCCCTGAGGGTATATCCAGACAGCGTTTCCAGCTGTCCACGGGGAGACCAGTAGACCAGTGTGTGGCTTAACTGATTCAGGGTCCAAGAGAAGCCTCACACATGCCCAGGGAGGGAAGACTATGCCAAAATTTCAAACTAAATCTACTGATTATTTGCATTGTTTAGGAAAGTTTTATACTGTTTGTGTTAAATATCTATATTTTCCCCTTTTATAATATTCCATTTTATTTTGGGGAAAGACTGAAGATAATGATTCCATTTTAATCTCTAGGGCTTCCGACGTCTTTGTATTTATGTTGCTATAAAGTCTTTTTCATGTTTTTCCTAGAGTCAGGAAAGAATCATTGTTAAGTAAAGGTACACCACATCTCATTGCTCCAGAGAGTAAAACCCCTTCTTTCCAACTGTCTAGACCATTTGGTTGGAATCTAAAAAATTCCATTTCCAGTTGAATTCATCAAGGCAAAAAATAATGAAAGAATGAAATGAAATTTCAGATGAAATAAGAATTTTCATACTTTGTCTATATATTTTGATATCAACAGATAACCAGGGATTCGCATTCAGCAATCAGGCATCCTTTCATTTATTTAAGTCACATTTGTAGTTCCAAATAATTAAGGAGCACCATTCAAAAAGCTTTTTGAAGTAAGCACCACACTAGACACCTTCCTCTGTCCTTGTTGGAAATTTCCCTCGCTCTGTTTCCTAGCACCAAAAGGAATGGTGCAGATGCAAGTAGCCATTGTTGTTGCACCCATGCCCCCGTGTTTTTGCCACATACATGGCCCAGTGCGGTGCCCAGCTCTTGCAGGGCCTGGACGGGTATCACTGTGATGGAGGTTAATTCCCAGCTCCTGGCAGCTGCCATTTTCACCACTCGGGGGTTAACAGCGTGTCACTGATCAGCCTGCGTAGAGCTTTGGTAACTTGGAGGCTGAATGGAGGTGATCTTCAGAGAACGTGTCTCCCATGGCTGAGCTCTGTGGTTGAGCTGTCCCAGGTGGTTACACACTGCCGTTTTCAGATGTTCTCTTGTGGTTCATTATTGTCAGCATTTCTTCATAAAAACATTTTTTTTCAAAAAGGTTCTACCATGTTGTTTGGAGTCAATTTGCAAAGAACAGTTACTGCTTTGAGCTGCCCAGCAGATAAACATTTAAACTAAGCGTTCTGCCTGCAGATACATATATATTTTGTACAGGAAAGCTGGCAATGTGCAATTTCTAGTTTAGCTACTGTCTAGCTCTTATTTCTCTCTCACTGCCCAAACCAAGGATTTTAAAAAATCAAACTTCAAAAGTCCTGAGCCCATTATCCTTCCAAGAAACATATTTGAGTAAAGAAATCCATGAGCTGTTCAGAGGGCAAGATTACAGTAAACGCAGCTTTTAAGTGCTGGCAGTTTGAGTTGCAGGGAAAGGAACAAGGAGGTTGGGTGGTGGTAGGGCCTTTCATGAACTGAAAATTGGTATGGGAAGGACAAGTAGAGAATCTGGCAACCCTGCCGGGCACTGAACTCACCTGAGAATGTGGGAGAAGGGCTTCGGGAATGCTGCATTTACAACAAAAACATACTTATAGTCACAGGACACACAGAGTTTTTCAAACTCTGGTACAGCTTTTTTTTTCCCCCTTAGGGGTTTCTCTCTTTTGTGCACACACATGTACCCACACACACATGTATCCACACACACATGTATCCACACACACACGTACATGTTTCCTGAAAGCAAGATTCAAAAGCCTTGTCGGAGTGGCGTCATGGGGAGCAAAGTCTGTGTCATCGGGGTTGTCGTCCTCATCGTCGTCGCCTCTTCATCGTTGGGAGCAGCCTCGTTATACCCAATGAAAAGGAAAAAGAACTCTTTGGTGAACCGCATTAGAAACAGGATTGGAATGAAATTTGGGCCCTGGACCTGAAGAATAAAGGCAGTAGGGCTCACATAAACTAGCCAGTTGCCCCAAAGAAACTCAATCTTCCATCTGTCTTTTCCAGCTCCGCTGGTGGGGAGAGGGAAGTGTAGCCCTTGGGAGCCCTTGAAACCTGTTGGGTACAAGCAAGGCTCTGTGTCCTCAGCCAGTGTTTGAGACAGAGAACACTAGAGAGTTTGTGCATGTGGATAAAGCTCTTAAGTTTGAAAGGTATCCACCTGTTCGCTTTAATAACAGCTATGCTGACCGATCGCTAACTTGTAGGCATTGCGTCTCTTGTGCTTTATCTCGTTTAGGCTTCACAACAGCGCCGTGAGGTCGTTTCTCCTGCCCATTTTAGAAAAGATAAAAACTTAAGAGATTCACTGACCTGTCCAAGGTCACACACTAATAGGACCTAGATTTAAACGAAGGTCTTCTGGATTCCAGAATAGGTTCTTAGCTCCTGTCCAATGTGCTGTATTATTCAGAAGTATGAGACCCTGTTTCTGTTAACTATACTGGAATTAAAAAAAAAAAAAAAAAAGACCCTATTTCTGCTCTCCAGATCATTTTGGTTCGGCCAACATGACCCTTGAGGCTGTTGTGGGAAAGGCAGAGGAGGTGTGCCCCTGGTCTCTGATAATCTAAATGTGCCATTGCAGGGGCAGGGGATGGGAAAGGAAGTGATTGCTTCCCACTGGAGGGGGTGCAGTAAGATTTTGCAAAAGAAGTGATACCTGAGCAGAGGTCAGAAGAAGAGGGGTTCCCCGAGTGTAGAGGGTGAAAGGACATTCATTCATTCCAGTGAGAGCGAATTATATGGGTAGAGGTGCTAAGAATGAAACAATGGTTGGTTTGACAGAACATATGCAGTTGACCCTTGGACAACTCAGGGGGTTAGGGGCTCTGATCCTCCCACCCCATACCATTGAAAATCTGCGTATTTTGACTCCCCCAAAGTTTAACTGTAGCCTCCTGTTGGCTGGAGGCTTTGTCTTGATAACAAAGTTGATTGACCCATGTTTTGTCTGTTATATGGATTGTATTCTGTATTCTTACAATAATGCCTAACTTTTTCTTAAAATTTTCAGTATTTCTAGGCTACGTAGTTCCTCTGTGAGTTTTTCAAATTGACACAAATCTCCCCCAAATTTTTTCCCAATGTATTTATTGAAAAAAAAATCTACATATAACTGGGCCCGAGCCGTCCAAGCCCGTGTAATGCAAGGGTCAACTTTATAGCAAGAGTTTTCTTTTAAAATAGTGTAGGGTTAGGTCTCTGCCTTCTCACCCAGCCTGCAGAGATAACCCGCAAGGTAGGGGTATAGCACTTTTGATCAATGGATGACCACTGCCCAACAGCAGATAGCCTTGCGGTATGAGAAACATGCCATGATGGCGGGGCCTTCTTGAGTAAATCTGGTGAAGGACTTGGGAGTAAGTCACACACAGCTTCTTTAAACTCGACCCAGCTCCCAAGATGCCAACCCCCAAGTCAGGTAGGGGCATCTAGAGAAGGCGGGTGGCCTTCTTTATCAGCAGGAGAGGTTTTGGGGCTTCTGTTTGGTACAAGGTACCACTTGACCTGTGGCAAGTGAGGAGAGGACTGGAGCTGGGTCTGGGAATGCAGAGGAACTGGGGGAGCCTTGTTCAGTAAGGGAGTCAGTAAAGGAGAGTGGAAGGGGCTATTAGCTGGACTGTGAAGTCATTCTGAGACTTCTCTGAAGACTTGCACTCTGATTCTTGTGAAACGAGGCACTCACACAAGGTCAGTGGACCTTGTGAAGTCCTATCAAAAATACCTCCCTCGCATTGCCTCAGAATGTTCTCTCAGCTATTCTGTCTTGTTATAAGGATTAAATAATGTAATACATGCAAAGACTTTAACATTAAGTCTGGCCCTCTGTAGGTGCTCAGAAAGTGTTCGCTGTTATCAGCATCATCTTCGTTGTTGTTGCTTCACCTTCTATCAGTTAGAGACTTAATGGCTCCAAAAGCCAGTCACACTTCAGCGTGACTAGGCTGAACTTTTCCAAAGCTTCTCCAAGACTGAGGATTTTGAGGCAACTGCATCGTCAGATCTTAGAAAGAGCAGATTTTGCTGGGAGCCTGGGTGGCTCAGTCAGTTAAGTGTCTGCTTTTGGCTCAGATCATGATCCTAGAGTCTAGGATCGATCCCTGCTTTGAGCTCCCCGCTCCGTGGGGAGACTGCTTCTCCCTCTCCTCTGCCTGCTGCTTCCCCTGCTTGTGCTCTCTCTCTCTCTCTCTGACAAATAAAATCTTTAAAAAGAGAGAGAGATAGAGAAAGAGAAAGCCTAGATTTTGCAGGTAGACCCTGACTGGAATGCAGGATCTGCCACTTGCTAGTTTTATGATCTGAAGTATGTTGGGAAACCTCACTTTCCTCATCTTAAAATAGGGATGATGATAATGACATTGGAGTGAAGATTTAGTGAAGTAAATGAACTAGGGTGTCTAGACTACATGGTCAGCCCCCACACACAGTAGGCATTCAGTAAACCTCAGTTCCCTTCCTTCTGTCTGGACACACAGAAGGACAGTTTAGGTTCATGTAGGGAAAGACACAGGTCAAACCTGAATGTTCTTTCTGCTGGCCCCCATTGCACCCCAGCTGGACCATATCTCCCAGACCACCCACCCTCCTCTCTGCATGTCTCCCCTTAGCTCTTCTATAACAGCCTATGGTTACTTCCTGGGGCCCTAAGAAGCATTGGCTGATCGGCCTGTCTTTCCCATTCCCTATAGGTTCCCGTGGCCTGAGTGTAGCTTTTCTTTCTGATTTCCTGGTACCTATCCCAGCGTGGGCTTGTGCTAGGCACTTAGTAGATGTCTCCATGCCTCCTCTAGGAAGTTAGGGTGAGCAGAAACCGTTTGGGTGATGTCCAGCCACTTACCTGTGAAACCTTCCAAGAAAATTGGAACAGCTTCTGAGGGTAAATATAAAGAGGGAAACACCTGGATAAAGCTCAGCCACCACTCTAGGAAACAGGGTGAAGCTGGGGAGAGATCTCAGAAGACCTGTTGCCTCCTCAGAACACCACGTTCTAAACTCTTCAGGGTTCTCCGGGCTTCCTGAAGTCCCGCGGTTTGTATCAACCTCACTTGAAGGTCCTTTCTCCCCTCCAGAAAGCCGTTCCAACTCCACCTCCTGCTTAGCTTCTCTGTGCTGCTCACAGCCATGTGTGTGCCTCCGTGGTACTCCTGGTCTGTGATTACAGGGTTATCGGTCTGGCTCCCCTCCAGACCAATGATTTCCTGTGAGCCAGAGTCCTGTTCTCTGTCTCCGTCTCTAAACAGAGAACAGACCTGACAGTCACATTGTGTGCAAAGGAGCAACTGGAGATTCTCGCCCAGGGTCTGGGAAGCCATGCCCCAGGGGTTTTGGGTGTGTGTTGTGAACCCCTGAAATTATATGGGAAATTGTCTGTATATGTTTGTAAATCCATTTCTCTTTTGAGAGAGTCCACAGTGTACATGAGATCCTGAAATGTTTTCATGATCCTGCAAATATTAAAAGCAAAAACCAAAAACACACTCATTTAAGGATTTTCTACATACATACTTGTAAAGCTTGTGTTTTTATTAGCTGGGAGATATCTTTATGCTCCCTGGATTTCCAGGTCCAAGGTATAGCTTGGAATAGCCCAAGGCTCCATCTTGGAGCCAGGGATATGGCCCCAGCTTGGGTGCTATTGCTTATATATGCTGGAGGGTCCACTTCGCTCTTCTGAGCTTTGTTATATGTTTCATCTGTTAATTTAGGTTTATAATGCCCTCATGTCCTGCAGGAATATTGCATAATAAAGAAATAGAGGTGTGCAGGTGTTTTATAAGCTGCCCAGGCTATATGATTGCAGGATGCAAGCGTTATGCTGACAAATGTGTCATTTCTTTTTTTAAAAAAAGATTTTATTTATTTATTTGACAGAGAGAGATCACAAATAGGCAAAGAGGCAGGCGGGGGGCGGGGGTGGAGAAGCAGGCTCCCTGCTGAGCAGAGAGCCCGATGCGGGGCTTGATCCCAGGACCCTGAGATCATGACCTGAGCGAAGGCAGAGGCTTTAACCCACTGAGCCACCCAGGCGCCCCCCAAATGTGTATTTCTTATGGTACACAGTGCTGAGAGCACAGTAGGTGCTCAGTAAAGATGAGATTAAAATGAATGTGGAAAGGGTTAATTGGAGTGAAAGGTCTTGAGGTTCAGGTGTCAGCATGGCCTGTACATCCTGTGGAAGGACCTTGTGTTCAGGCTTAGAACACAGCTGGGGCTACTGACGACATGGTTTTCAAACAATAGTAAAAGGAGAAATGACCGTTGAGATCCCAAATCCATTTGCTTTATTTTCCAGAAGAAACTGAAGCTTAGAGAGACAGAAGCAGTCCTACTTCTTTTCAGAAGGGCTTGAGTGTCCTCCTCTTTACTTTTAATGGAGGCCAAAAAAAAAAAAAAAAAAAAAAGAGAGAGAGAGAAAGAAAAAGCCCCAAGCCAAAACAAAACTCATTGCCTTATATCATCAATTTGTTGTCTTTTCTTCTTAAAAAAGGTTCAACATTCACACCACAGTCTTAATTCTCTCACTGAAGCCCTTTAGAGGCTTGGGATCCTTAGAACATGCTGATGCTGTGCTGGACACAGGCACATTGCACTAGGGAAACTTTGTATCTCCAAAGCATCCTTGGAATGTTCTCATAGACATCAGGTGAGAACACTGAGTATCGATTATTGCTACCACTGCTGGCTCAGCTGAGACCCAGAGAGGTTACTGTGACTTGTCCAGGTCATAAAAGAGTGTCCAAAAGCAGGATGGAGATCCAGGTGTTCTGATTTTCCATCCTGTATAGCCACTAGATTCTCTGTCACCAAAATGCATCTTTGCTTGATTCCCGCACATTTACTGAATCAAACTATGAGATTCTACCCAAGAGAAAGATAGATTTTAGCTTCAGATATATTCTGCTCAGGGCTAAAAAGACTGTGTTTATATCCCCTCACACTCCAGGCCACATAGACCTGGAGAAAAGCTAAATGTCATCAGATCCCTCCCTGCCCCCCAGTTATTGACAAAACAGTAACCTGGAAATGTTTTTTGCTTAGTGTGTGTGTGTGTGTGTGTGTGTGTGTGTGTGTGTGTTGACTATAATCTATTCTTCCATTTTAACAATGTGCAATGAGAGGAGTTTAAAATTACATTTAATCATCATTTCACAATGAGTGATAATTAAATATTACTTTTAAACTAAGCTTCTCTTCTTTTCTGTAATTGCATTACTTTTCTAAGGGGAGATTTTGTTTTGCTCTTTAACCTGATTGTGTGCATTTGGAAAGTACCCTAGCACAGGGTATCCGAAAACAGAAAATTCTGGCACTTTTCCCACTTTCCATTCTTTCTCCTGTATGGATGCCAGATTCCTTTGGGAAATCATCATTTGCTAAAGGTCAGGAGCAAAAGGAGGGGCATTCTTTAGTGTACAGTTACTGCTAATTAGAAACTAAACATCTGTAACCATGTCAGAGTTATTTGTATTTGAAAAGAAACATTTATATACAAGAGCCCAGTTCGGTAACATAAAACACACACTAACACAAAGTGTGTGTGTTGGAGGGGTAGGGGACAGACAGATGGGGAAGCTTCCGACAAATGACTGGGCTGAGTGAGGTCATTTGCTAATTAAATCTCAAAGCATTTTCAGAGTATTTTCTTTTCTCTGTCAAGTGAAGTTTTCTCAATCTCCACCCCCCCACCCACCATGAGCCAAAGCAAACATTTCAATGTATTTGCCAATTAAAGATTAAACATTTAATCATTTTAAAGGAAAAATAAGTAGAAAATGGGTGATTTGGCAGAACCTAGTCAAAGACCACTGGGAAATCTCTAGCTACCTACTGTAACATTAGCTCTCAGCATTTTACAGTACCATATAAGGTGAGCTCTTCCCTATCCATAAAGTGTGTGGTGATTGACTTGTCTCACAGACCTACACTTGTAGGAGGAAAAAAATGACACAGTGCTTGACTTACCACTCCCCATAATGAAATTGTTTGGATCATTCCAAACAGATATTTTATAGAAATTCTGCCTTTTCTTTTATTGTCATACTAAGATAAATGTCAGTGATACTTCTGGGGTATTAGAAACATTTCAGTCATAGGACTTTGTCCCTCCACATGCTAAACCTACCATGGCCCAGATCCTACCAGTAATTCCTTTTGGAATACTAAGTAATTTTGAAAACAAAGCAAGAGATCGTCTCTTTCTTCCATAGAGTCTACTATCTTCTAATCTTCCCCATCCTTGTCTCTGAGTCTAAGATATTTCTATGAGTTGAGTTACTTTTTAAATTGGGTAAAAGATCATGGAGCCTCGCGAGTTCTAGATAAGAACTTATTTAAGCCAGGACTTACCGTATTGGGCTTTCCCCTCAAATAACACTATCTCTGTGAAGGCTCTCAAGTACACAGTTTCAACAAAATGGTTGTGGGCTCTCAGATTCTGAGTGTTTACAAAGTCAAGAGGCCCTTAGATGACCTGCCTTTCCAATGACCTCTGTAGAATCTCAAAATACCACTTGTCTCTGACTTTCACTGATTTAAGAACTGGCTTTTATTCAAGCTCTTTGGGTGTGAGTCATCCCAGAGGCTAGGATTCAGTGACTTGAGGGTCCAACTCTTGTTCTCTTGACAATAAGTTCAAGATCATAGAGTCTGTCATTTGTGGCACTACCCAGTCTAGCCAAAACCATTTCTCAGCCTGAAGTTCCAGTGTTATTTCGGAGCCTCTGCTTTAGTCAGACCGCATCTACCTGTCCCTTGAGCATTTTTACCCTTTCTTTATCTCACTGTTTCTGGCTGAAACAACTTCCTGGTTTCGGCCTTCTTAGAATTATGCTTGCTTTCCTGAGTTCTATCCTTCTCGATACCACAACCTACAGTCTTATCCTCACGTAGCCATAATATGACAATCACTTGCTTATCACTTTCCCAGAACTGTCTTGCGCTTTTGGTCATCTTCTCAAATGTACTGCTCATCTTGCCAACCAGAGTATAGGCTCCCTCACAATGACTGTTTTATTTCTCTTGGCACTTATCATTTGTTCATTTTGAGTGCCCAATGAATAGTTGTTTGATTGTTGAGGAAGACGCTATTTTTGCTACTACCTGTTTATTGAATCATTCCCAGAGCCGATCTGCATTTATCCCTGTGATAAAACCACAGATATTAATGGTATTTACGTGAAAAGGAAAATCATCTGTAGAGCTAACA